GAGGATTAGCATTTTATGCCACTGTGCTGGCCTCTGAACAATCCTCTCAGTTCCTAGTAATATTTTTTTGCTTTGAAATGTATTAAATGTATTAAAACTTTATTAATACAGCCATCAAAGCTTTCTTTTGCCTAGTTTTATGGAGATATATCCTTCCCACCTTTTACTTACAGGCTGTCTGTATTTTTGTGTTTATTATTATTTTTTTTTTTTGCAGGTAAGAAGTAATTGGATTTTTCTTATCTTATAATCTCTGCCTTTTAACTGAAATGCTTAGACCATTTACATTTAATATGGTTATTTGTCTGATTAGGTTAAGCACATTATCTTTGTGTTTGCCTTTTATTTCTTCTTTTCAATCTTTGTCCCCCTTTCCCTCTGTTTCTGCTTCTTTTTGGGTCAACTGAGTATTTTTCAACATTTAATTTTATCTCTTTCGTTGGTTAATACTAACTATAACATTTTGCCTTAGTACTTTAATGCTAGCTTTAAGATTTATAATATACTTTTTAAATTCACCACAAACTACACTTAAATATTATATCATTTCACATTCAGTATGAGACTTTCATAGCAGTATATTTTCATTTTTCCTACTCTTACACTGGCATGTACTATATATTTTCAACAAAAAATGCTATTATTTTTGGTTACATAGTCAATTATCTTTGAAAAGAATTCAACATTAAGGAAATATGGCACATATTTATACACATAATTTCTATTTCCAGTGCTTTTCATTTTTTTGAACTCAAACCTCCATTTCTGTTTTGTTTTTTTTAAATGATATTTTCACTGACTATAGAATCTGAAGTTCACAAGGAGTTTTTTGTGCCAGCAGTATAAAGATGTTGCTGCATGGTAATATTGCTTGCATTGTTTCTTAAGAAGATTTCCATCTCTTAGGAACTACTGTCCTTTGCTGTCTGATGTTAAGTGTCTTGAAAAGTCATTGCTTCACCTCCAGATGGCATTTTTATGGCTATGTGTGCATACATTTTGGGACATTACTGTTCAGTCAACAACATAGTTGACTGAAATTTCTTGTGCTGAAAATTTCCCTTTATTTAGAGTACATATTTAAAATGTCTGTTAAAGATACTAAACTATAACTTCCTTCCTTGTTGCTTCCACTGTGTAAATTGCTCGACATGTGAAGGTACTTGCTTATAGATTTTTTTCAGGAATTTGGCACATGCCATAATTAGCCATGCTATTGTAACAAAAATGAAAAAGTGAAAAGGATTAAAGAAACAGGCATATGGTACACAAATACTAAATCAGGTTCATTCATTGCTGAAGTGAGACCCCATGAAATGGAGAAAGCAGGTCTGCTTTCTATTTCCTCTATGGATGGTCTCTGTGTGGGAGACACACACAGCCCATAGTGTGGCTTGCATAGAAACATGCAGATCCCAGCCATGTCAACAGTTGGGTCTTCTTGTGCCATCAGCCCTGTGCCCTGTAGGGGTTTCCATATTTGGTTGCCAAGGAGCCTGGTGGGGCTCTCCAAGGAGCATGGAAAGTGGGCCAACCCACCAGTCGGCCTCTGTTCCCATTCGCTTGGCTGGAGGTACTGAGGACAGGCCTGCTCTGAGCCAGCTGGCTGCCGCCCATGAGCAGACCCAGCAAGTTGGGGCCAAACTGCCTTGTTTCCGTTCCCGCTGGCTGTGCATTCCCCAATGTAGCTTCTAATGGAAGCAGAGGCAGCTGGCACAAGCAAACAGCCCCTCAATCCTGTTCCTGACATGCTGTTGCCAAAATTCAGTTTGAAGGAATAAAAGGCAAACATAAACCTCAGCTCCTGCCGGAGAGGTTGTTTAAGCTTAAAGAAACCGACAGGAGTGAGTGGCTCAACTGCTCTCATTTACTGACACATTTCTGCTGTCAAACTGTGGAAGAGAATTCCCCCTGGGGAAGAAACCAAGCTCTTCAAGACATCTGTCAACTAGTTTCTCAAGAGTCAGCTCCCACAACTGGTGATTATGAAAAATGGGGGTGTCAGGACCACTGGCTTTGGTAACGTGTTCTGCGGTTAATAATTTGGATGTTGGTTGGCTGAGCAGGCTGGTAACAGAAGTGCCCAAGGCCTCCTTAGTGCAATTCCCACCCACCTGCAACAGGGGTTCTTTATCACATTAATGCCAAAGAGCCCTCAGCCTGGCTGGTGGAGCTGAGGTTGCTTCTCAGTGCAGTGCTCATAATGCTCATCATAACACACAAGACTGTGAGGGAAACCACTCGACTTCAAAATACGGCTGTTGACACTAACTCACACTGAAATACGGTAACATGTGTGCTGCTCCAGCGACACATGGGACAATGAGATCCAGCACAAGTTCTCAAATGACTTCCGTTTTACAGGGGTGGAGAGTTAAGAGTGCTGTGAGATGATGTCTCTGGGTGACAATGCCACTCTGTTGTCTATATTCACTCACAATGGAAGGGAATCACAAACTCCAGCTACAGACTAATGAAAACAAAAATACAATGTTTTCTTCAACCTCATGTGCCAGTCTGTGGACCACAAGATTCCTACATAAAGCAGACATTTTTCTCTCCTTAGGATGGTGGGAAACCGCTCTTTCCTGAAAGATGTCGACATAGGTCCTCTCTTCTAGGCAACTGGGAGGTTCATCTCTCTAAGTCCTGTGCTGACGAATATGTTTGTTCTTAACACAGGAGGCCTCTGTCCGCGCTGATTTTGCTATCTGCAATGTCCTTTAGACTCCAAGACCCAGTTAGCCCTAGTAGGTCTTCCTGGAGTCAGCAGAGGGAATCCACTTAAGAAAGGCTTCTTCACTCTCCCAAGACTGGCACAGGGTCAGGGGTATTCTCGGTGGTCCCAGAGCACACTGAGCCTAGTCTATTATTGATCTATCTTCTCAGCAGGGGCTATATGGAACTGCTGGCACCATCTGTCTCAGCCAACACACACACTCACACAGGAGTGTGAGCTCTAAGGCAGCAACAATGATTCACTTAGCATTGCGTTCCTGGTATTCACCCTGGGGCTGGATACACAGAAGACTTTTAACACTCATACATTACTGCATGAACAGACAGACTAAAGAATGAATCAAAGCTGTGACCACATCCAACCTGATTACACATGAGAATTCTTTAGGAGATTTTAGAAAACACCAAGATCCAGACCACACCCTCAGATATTCAGATTCATGGGATAATGGCTAGGTCTCTAACCTTTGTTGTGTTGCTGTTGTTTGTTTTTAATCATCCAGGTGCAGCCAGAGCTAAGAACCCATTACTGCAACAGGAGCTAGGTTTAGAATACAGTGCTTCCTAAATATACTTCTTTTCCAGACCCAGAGAGATGAAATTAACGCAGAAGTCTGAACTTTGCTAGTGGCTAAACATAAAAATTGAGTTTCTGACTCTCAGAGTCAGCTCACAGCTCTGAATCCACAGGAATCAGTGATAGACTCAGGGCTTGACAGCGAAGACCATGAAACAAATGCAATCCCCAGAGGCAAGCACACTGAGGTCCTTCTCTGTCCCCACACCACAACAAATAATGAATAGTGGCTAGGTGTATTCGTGAGAATCTAGAATCAGATGTGGAGCTGTGACCTGAACCTAGGCACCTCAATGTGGGCTTGTGGGTACCCCAAGATGAATCTTAACCACTGTGTTAAACGTCTGTCTGCCGTTCATCCTGAACTATATCTCTTGGGTTCAAAATCTGGCTCCATCTCTTACCATTTCTTGCAAATTATCTAATATTTTTGTCCCTCAATTCTTCATCTGTGGAATGGAGATGGTCACAACATCTGTTGCATGGGGATTTTGGCCAGTTTGGCTTAGCTAATGCACCTAAAATGCCAGCAATGCCAGCTCTCACACCGGAGCTTGCATCTGAATCCCCTAGAGGGGATGTTAAAATGTTAATTACTGGGCCCCTTCCATAGCTCTCTGTTACCCACATGGGACAGCCAGACAGAGCTCCTGGCTTCAGCTTGGTTTATCCCTGGTTCTTGTGGATAACTTGGAGGTGAACAGGGAATGAACTACCAGGTGAAAGATCATTGACGCTCTGACTTTCAAACAAATAAACCAATTTTTCAAGCAATAAGTTTGGCATCCAACCAAGTGGCCCCAGTACTTGGGCCCCAGCTTGGACCTTACTTTTGGGAGTGAGGACTAATACCACCACCACCCCCCACCCCTGCCTCCCATGTTCTAACTGCCTTCTAGGCTGTTCCAATGTGCACAAAGTTGAAGAACTGGTCTATTAGAAGGCTCCCATCATCACCATGATAAACCTGACTAAAATGCACAGGAGGAAGGGGATCTTATGGTCCAGAATGCAGTTTTTGGTTGAATTAGAGCCTAAGACCCTGATTCAGCCTCTTATTTCCTTTGTTGTCTTAACTGATTCAACACATTCCAGAAAGCCTCAGTACTGTCATGTGTAAAATGGAACCTGAGATGATACAAATGAAGTATCTATACACACCATGCAGGGATTCTGGAACACTTCTGCACCACAGTAAACATCTTGGCAAACAGTACTTCCCATGGACTTTTGGATGCATTCTCATTTATAGGCACCCAAGTTAAGGAAAGTGTTTTTTTGTTTGTTTGTTTGTTTTTTTTAAAGGAAAGTAAAAATACCACACATAAAAAATTGAAGGGTGAAGGATGAAAGTGCCTCTACAATTGTCTACTACATGGAGGTCTGAATTTCAAATGGAGGGGCTAAACATAAGTGGACAAATAGAGGTCACAGGTTTCCTACTGCCTGGACAGAGGAGGAAGACTGACTACTTGGGGAGCAGTAGCTTGCCCCTGCACAGCCCTGCGACACTAGCTCTGAATTCAGCAGAATCTGATCCCTGGGGCCTTTGCACAAAGGCCCTGGATAACAGAAGGAAATCTCTTCCGGCGGCACTTCATGTACCAGGATTCTTTAATTAATTCTCAACAAGAACCAGGGGCAAAATCCTAAGATCCCAGAAGATAAGAGATGTTCCACTCACTTGGGATGCCGGATATCAGGCAGAGAGCGATTTAGGGAGATTTTATCACTGACGTAGATGTTAAATCCATTTTCTCGGTAGGCCTGGTCCACTTGGTCGGCATCCGTCATGGGATATGGTTTCCCTTGTTCTCCATTTCCTAGAGACAAAGAGCAAGCTCAGTGTTGCTAATCACCTAGCAGATATGGGGTCACTGTATAAGGAGAGGGGGAGAAGGATGAAAAAGGCTCCAAATCCCACAGGGACAAGTGCAAACACAGGGAGGGGAGCCAGAGTCCTGTCAGTCATTTTCCAGGTCTTTTGCCCCTGAAATCTCCACAGCAACCCTGGAGGGTAGTCGTGAGAGCTCTCATTCAATAGATGGATAAACTGAGACTCGGGAAGGCTCTAAAATTGAGTGTGGAGGTTCCAACACCTGTGCTCCCTGTGCTCTGGTAAGAGTGCCAATCTCTACCACCAAGTGACCTTTGGAGGACAGCCCCACCAACTGTGACTGACCAATGTAGAGCATGTCAAGCCAGCTCACTTCCTCCTCCAATATACCCACCATACTTGGAAGAGTCACATAAGAGCCTACACATAGGGCCTGGTGCCGTGGCCTAGCACCTAAAGTCCTCGCCTTGAGCATGCCGGGATACCATTTCGGAGCAGGTTCTAATCCTGGCAGCTCCATTTCCAATCCAGCTCCCTGCTTGTAGCCTGGGAAAGCAGTCAAGGACGGCCCAAAGCCTTGGTACGCTGTACCCGCATGGGAGACCCAGAAGAGGTTACTGGCTCCTGGCTTTGGATCGGCACAGCACCGGCTGCTGTGGTCACTTAGGGAGTGAATCATCGGATGGAAGATCTTCCTCTCTGTTTCTCCTCCTCTCTGTATATCTGACTTTGTAATGAAAATAAAATAAATCTTTTAAAAAAAGAGAGCCTACACATAATAGAGCTAAACACTACACCAATGTGAAGAAATATGATAAGTCTCTATGTAACACACATTTAACATCAAAACTGCCATAAATGATAAATAGGCTCTGGATTTTTGTTCTGAAAGCAGCAGACAAATTAAGATCTGCTTATTACTCCAAGCCAGGATTGCCTGGAGAGTACTGTTTTGGGTCACAGATTCAGGTGAATCAAGTGCCAGCTCTCCTTTCTCTGCACAGTCCATCAAGAAAGAGTCCCTGATGCTCCAGGAAATTATTCTCTTGGTTCCCAAGAAGCATATGGCAGGTGGAAGTGTCTAAAACTACATCACATAACAGCACCTTAAGAACCTGTCAACAGGCAAAGGTCTTGGAGAAAAGGCAATAAAAGCAGCTGGCTGAAAGTCACTCCTCCCCTTCCTGGAGGTCTGAGCAACACTTTGTTTACTTTGCAAACATCACTTTGCCAGGAATGCACAGGCTGGTGGGTAAAATCTGGGGTTGGATGCTGCTCCCAACCAACTCCTTCCTGTAAAAATTGTAATGTCCCATGAAAAGACAGTTTAAAAAGGGTCAACTTTGAATCTCGAAAGGCAGAGCGGAAGTGAGAGGGAGGAAAGGAAGGGAGAAGAAGACAGAGAAGGAGATCTCTACACTGGTTCACTCTCCAAAAGCCTGTAGAGTCTCCCACGTGAGTAACAGAGGCCCAGGCACTTGAGCCATCACCTCCTGCCTCTCAGCACGCAGCAGCAGTAAGCTTGCCAGTATCCAGGATAATTTCTGTAAGGCATACCACATGGTAAGCAGAAAAAGAGCAGAAACATTTTCTCGGGGTTGGGGGGACGACACTTCAGGAAGGCAATGCAGGGGAGTGACTTGGACTTCAGGCCCTGGAGCCAGGCATAGTGCACTCCGAAGGTTAGTGCTGCTAATCCTCAGATGTGTCATCTGAAGCGTGCTTTCAACCTTTCTAAGTCTCGGTTTTTGCCCATTGTATTAATGGAATAAGAAGGTTTAATATGAGGATTAACAAGGCAATACAAGGCCAGATGCCTGGCACATAGTTATCCTCAACAAGTGCTGGTTATTATTCTTCTTTTTTTTTTTAAAAAAGCATCTATCTATATTTATTGAGAGAGAGAGAGAGGGAGAGGAAGTTTATGTGCACCCACCTGCTAGTTGAATCCTCAGATCCCCACAGTGGCTGAGGCTAGACTGTGTCAGGCTGAATTCATAAGTCATGAACTCAGTCTAGGTCTCCCACATGGATGGCAGCAATCTAACTACTTGAGTTGTTAAAGCTGCCTCCCAGCCTCTGTGTCGGCAGGAAGATGGAGTCAGGATCCAGAACCAGGTACTGAACCCTGGCATTCTGGTGTGGGATGTGAGAGTCTGGACCACTGCCAAATGCCCACGGCTGGTTATTATTGTTATTAGCATCTCTACTCTTCACTCATTGCTGGCTGGTCAGCTCAATGTTCTTTTTTTTTTTTTTTTAAGATTTATTTATTTTTATTGCAAAGTCAGATATACAGAGAGGAGGAGAGGCAGACAGAGGAAGATCCTTTGTCTGATGATTCACTCCACAAGTGACTACAATGGCTGGTACTATGCCGATCCGAAGCCAGCAACTAGGAACTTTCTCTGAGTCTCCCATGCGGGTACAGGGTCCCAAGGCTTTGAGCTGTCTTCAAATGTTTTCCCAGGCCACAAGCAGGGAGCTGGATGGGAAGCAGGGCAGCCGGGATTAGAACTGGCGTCCATATGGGATCCTGGTGCATTGAAGGTGAGGACTTCAGCCGCTAGGCCACTGCACTGGGCCCCAGTACAATGTTCTAACACCAGTATAATTGGAAAATCAGCTCTTTCTTAATGTTTTCTTTCTTGATTCAAGCAGTGTTCTTCCTCCTTTTAAATCACTAGCTCACAGGAAAATGGACCTTCTGTCTTTAGATTCCTGTCATTACTCGCTAGGTTGTTGTATCAGTCCTAATTACAGACTCATGGTAACTGGGGTTTGTCATAATAATGTTAAAAAAATCAGTAGTGCTGGGTGCCTTTATCCTATATAAAAATGGATAACATACCACTTTCCTACAGTTCTACAGCGCTTTCCAGCATAGCACAGTTACTTCATACTTGTCACTCTCCCAAAAACATACTAAGGTTGTCTAAGCAGGAGACCCATGGACAGATGGGGAAGGTGAGGCTCAGGAAATAGAATTTATCTGACAGTACTTCCAGCTGGCAAGAGCATCAGAGTTGCTCTTCTGACTCCTTAGTCCGGGCTGAACAACCCTATTCCAACTCTTCCAACCTGTCCAGTCTAACAGAGACTGCTCCAAGGACTAACTAGACCAGGTACACTTTAGCCGTGACACACTCAAACATTTCAAGCTCCTAGCTTTGGTGCAGGATCAACTTTTGCACTCCAGATCTGGGTCCAAGCCCCAAGTCTGTGTCTTTCTTATTGTGTGACTGTAGGCAGATTGCCACACATCTCTAAGCTACAGATCTTTACTAAATGGGCCAAAAAGTTGACTTGGGTTCACACAGGAAGTTGTACAAGTGCCAGGTACAGATTTTGCTGGCTATGGTGTTCAATGAATGTTATTAAAATCACTGCTCTGTCCTTTAGTGGTGAAAACATGCTATATAGAGACACTTTCAATCACTAGGTAAAAGTGGCAAAGCAAATTCTTTTAGGCAGTGGATCTGGCGATGTGAATGGACAAAGGAGTTGGGACGGGTGAATGGTGAAGGGGTTGATCCTGGAAATCAAGGGAAGCCCTAGGGGTAGGCAAAAAGAAAGTCAGGATGAGGCCCAGACTCCTCTGCTTCACACACGCAAACACAGCAGGTGCACACACACCCTCCACGGGGACTGCCCTCCATACCTACGCGCTGAGCATCCCTCCTGATGGCCTCCTTGTTATGCCAGTCTTTCAGCTTCTGCCCATCTCCCAGGAAAATGGTCTTCTTTTGCCGACTGTGTGAGCCCTTTTAAAAAAAAAAAAAGGAAAAAATGTGAAAAAAAAAAAAAAAGAACAGGAGAAATGAGTTCAGTAACAGAAATGCAAAAATGACACTGCCTAAGGGAGCTCCAGGATTGATTGAATGCCTGTTCCACATTGTTCAACTGCTTACTTCTCCCTTCCCCTGGTGCACCTCTGTGAGTAACTGCCACCTGACAGCTCAGTGCGGGGGAAGGCCAGCATGAAGACAGAGCATGGGGCCCACTCCACGAGAACACACAAACCAGCAGGAGGGGAAGAACCATGGACACGCACTTTCCTTTCACCTAGGAGAGAAAGTGTTAAGTATTGAGCTGTCCCAGGAAACTCAACTTTCAATGGTCTAGTCCCCACATGAAAAAGAAAAATGGGAAATCAGTTTTAACTAATACATTTTATTAAATGCTTGTACTCTATGCAACATACCCTCGTTTCAACATGCAATCAATGTAAAAGCTTATTGAAGTGTTCACTGATTTCTGTGTGCCCCAAGTCTTCAAAATCCAGCATCTATTTTCCATGTATGTTACCTCAATTCTGACCCTTTTCAGTTGCTCAGTGACTGCAGGTGGTGGGAGGTGGCATACAGGACAGGACTCTCATAGCCCATGGCTCTCAGAGGAAAGGCAAGAGGAAGTGCTGCAGGAGAGATGGAGACAGTTTCAAGGATGTGAGGATGTTGGGGAAAGGAAAGGCAGGCAGAGGAACAGCTGGAGTGTGGACTGCAAGGTGCTGGGTGAAGATGGACAGTGCTCTGAGCTAGGAGCACATGTGCATTGGTCATTTCTATAGACCCCAGCCCCAAAGAGGGTGAACATTTGGCAAACATGTGTGAATAGGAACAACCACTGAGTAGCTGAAAGAAAAAAGAGAATAAACTTGCACAACACCCCTAAAAGAGCAGCAGCCCATACGGTATCTGGGGAAGTCGTACATGATTGCCTAGGGGCATCAGGAGTAAGTGCTCCTGGTTGTCAACAGTCAGTTTGGCCCAAGGATCTGTGAGAGCCTTTTTCCCCAGGCAACACTGAGGCACACAGATATCTACATTGCTCTATCACACTCACATACACAGCAACAACTTTCTAGATCACCCTGCCCATTAAAAATCCCATATTCCTGTTCCTGTCATGGTGGTAGGTGCACTCCAACTGTCCTACTTTCTCGTTAATTAACAAGGCAGGTCCTGACAGTGAGGATGTAGGACATTAATGCTCACAAAAAGCCACCTCAGTAAAATCCTCCCCACATCTGGGCATTTAAGTGTCTGGCCGATCCATGCGTTATCCAAAGGCCCAGCCTTCCTCCAGTGGAGCTAGTGAGAGCAATGCTCCTCTGCGCCCTCTCTTCTGTAGAACTCTGTCAACAGCAAGAGCGCAGTTCTGAAGGAATCCAAAAAAAACCACAAAAAGCACAGGTCTAATAGCGACTGTGTTTCTCTTAGAATTCAACAGAGGCTGAGGCAGCAGGTCCTTAAGGGACCACCTAACTATGCAGAAATTCAGCTGCACCGAGTTCAGACGCAGCCCTGTGGCATAGATGGCTGGTTTTTCCCCAGCTCCTTCCATTGGAGAAATTAAGGGACTGCTTTTTGGCTTGGAGCTGCATTTGAAAGAGCTCCTCTGCTAAAATACACACACACACACACACACACACACGAGACAATCAAAATCCCAAACTGGCAACCCTTAAAGTCAGTTTCCAGAGTCTAAGAGTCCATGAAGGGCACTGTTGTCTCCACAGGCTTGGCAAAGTCTTCCAATGCTACTGGGAATGAGACAGATGAGTGACTCTCATGGTTAGGGTCTCTTGGAAGTGCATGCCTTAAGTCTTATTTTTAAAATGAACAGTGGATTGCTCAACTGGCAGTGCTGAGAATGAAAGTTCTTGAATCCTGGGCGCTTCCTGCCTAGCACCCACACTTCTGCCATAATGTCATGCCCTTCCCTCCCTTCCAGCATCTATGGAAATTACCTACGCAGTTTTAGGGAGTTTCATTATTCTTCACATCTTCCCTAAATCAAGAGAACTCTGGAGTCTGCTGACGCAAGGAGTCCTACGTCTCTTAAATATACACAGCTGCTGGAGTCCTCAAATGTCTGAGTGAAGCAGTGGGGAAACTCAAGCCCAAACAGGACCAACCTATCCAACAGAGGCCACACAAACAGGCAACAGGTAACAGCCACATCCTTCGACTCCTGACCAAATTTAGGTAGAAAGAATTATTTGAGGGTGACCCTGCTCAAGCAGCAGGAGTTAAAGGCACCTCACTTTTTCTACCTGGGAAGCAGATCTGGCATCATCGACCCGCAAGGTCCTGTCAAGGAAGCTGTGAACAATCACAACAAGCGTATCCTGAGTACTCTCATCATGAACTCACAGATTATGGATACTGATTCCTTTAGGGTTTTAAGAATCTACTGGAAATTGACATCATCAAGTCGCTTTGACACAGAACTTCAATTTTACTATATGATCTAAAAAGGATTCTAATTAAAGCCGGGTGAACTGATTTAATTCCTAAAATCACCATGTATTTGGAGCCCTGAGGGTCTTTAGACTCTTACCCACAACCTCAACAAAAACTACAGTCAACTTCAGATGGTTTTGGATTCTTGAGTTCATCTTTTGCAGATTAGGAAACCTCAGATCATTTGAATATCACAAAATGCCAATGGACACTACTCCATGGAAGGCACCAGGGAGGCCAGCATTGTTAGCTTTTACTGACACAAAACCCAAAAGGCCAGATGCAGTAAGTCACACAGGAGGCCCTTATTCCAGCTGAGAAAAATGACTGAAGGAAGAGAGAGAACAGAGAGAGAGAGTTTGATGAACAGCTCCCTAATGGGATGCAGCCCAAGACCAGTTCCACATAGCTGGGTAACCCATGAGGGAAATGGCCACTCAGGGCACACAGCACTGGGCTTTTATACATTTTAGGTGTGGGGGATGGGGAAGGTGGTAGCTCCTCAGTTTGTGTGTGCTTGTGCTGTGTCATCATGGCAAGTGTTGATCTTATGCACAGACTTGCATTTTAAACATTTCTGGATGGCAGTGTCTGCTTGACCTTGGCAAAGATAGCGTGCAGGCTAGTGAAGCTTTCTTCTGTTGTTTGTGGCCAGAGGAAGGCAGAAAGGAGAGAGCGCACTGGAACTCAGTGTGCTGCTTGGTGTTGCAAGGTTACCAGGTGTTCTTGGCTTGTGATAAGATCTCTTGTCCTCTGATGCACTCAGCACCTTCAGGCATCACTTCTGCTTGGCCCAATAAACATGACCATGCAGATTTTGTGTGGAGACACATGAGATTTACAGTCTTTTCAAGAGGGTGGCTCTTAGGGGCCAGGACCTGTAATATAAAATTCAAATTCCTAGGCCCCAATTCAAACCTACAAGGTCAAAGCATCTGGGGACAGGAGCACAGGATGATGTGGTTTTTAAATACATTGTGCTGATGCACAACAAACACAGAAAGCCATTTGTATGAATCTAACTGCCTCATGGATAGGAAATCTGAGGCTAAGAGAAAACAGACTTGCTTGAACCCTATAACTTGTTGGTGAATTTACCTCAGAATAGACTTGCACTTCTTGAAGCTGATGTGTCTATTTTGGGTTTGTCATAGTGCTTTCCTGGGCCAATAGCTGGCCCTTCTCAGGCCCTTGTTAAATAGCAGGCAAGTGAATAAATGAATGATCATCTGCTCATCAGCTGGGGCAAGTAATCTAGTGTATACTAGTGACTACTCAGAGTATTCTGGTTCAAAGGGTCGGAAAGATGTAGTTTTCCCTTTCAGAGCAGGTGGATCTCAGTTCTGTAACTGATAAGTATAGAGAACCAGCAAAAATGGCATCTAAGTCCCAGTTCTAGGCAGGAGCAACTCGGCTGGCTAATCTGCACAAAGTGTTCTGCTCAGCATCTTGAGAGCGTCTCAGGAAGGGAGACCCACACTAGTAATACAGAATTTTTAGAGAAAGGTTATGAAGACAAGGAACATTCTGGTGTTTGAGATGGGCCGTGTCTGGAAGAATACAAGAGAGTGGGAATCTAATAATAAAACTGTGGGGCCTGCAGAGGCAACCTATTTAACACCTGATCCAATTCAACTGCCTCTGGCTGATAACAGGATTTAGAGTTTCCTCATTAACAAAATGTCTTAGGCTAACATGGAAAGTTGGTATTCTTCAAGTAATGGAGGAAAAAAACACCTTAGTCTAGTTAAGAGTGGCTGGCACTCTACAAGAGAAACTCATGCCCCAAGACCTTTAACAACAGGATAGGCAAAAACAATGCTCTTCAAGAGACAGTAATTCCTAGGCAATGGCAATCACTTAATATTATGTAAAGGCGCATATCAATCCAGAGGTGACTTTAAGTTTCCTTAATTCTGCAGATACAGACATTTGTCTATAAAGGCTGTGATTATTCTCCCTCACTAACCATCTTTTGCTACTTTTCTTTCCTTTGGCTTCTCAGATGTCCTTTGCTGAAGGAAGAGGAGGGGCAGGGGGAGAACAGCAAGAGAAGTGAGTTTGTGGAGGAGGCTGGCAGAGTTAATGTGGAAATCGCATTAAACCATAAATTGGAAATGGATTTCAATTGGCTGCTCTCAACTACTGCTTCTGGTATCTGTGTGCTTTTACTTAGCATTCCACTAAAAGAATTGATCAGCGTTCAAACAGCCACACACTCACAAACACAACTGGAATTTTAATCTTTGTTTAATCACTATTTAGTGTGCCTGGCATCCTTTGGTGGCAGGAAAGGATGGTAGTGAGCCAAGCCAACCACACTCTGCTCTTGAAGAAAAATTGGCTAAAGTGCACTCTAATCATTGGACTGTTGACCTGGCCACACCTGCTGAGCAAGGACACTGTCTTAACACCATGTAAATAGCCCCTCACCTGCTTTACTCAGGGTCCAGGTGGTATTATAAACCAATGGCTGCTCCACATTTCAGACTGCCTCCCTCCCACCCATGTCCTCA